CTCTCCCTTCCTCTTTCTGTCTCTTAACAAATCCTATCGAAGAAACAGCAGAGCTGTGTGGGAAGAAAGTTGAAGGAGGACGGCTCCTGCTGACACATTCTGCTCAGCACCACGGACAGCATACGATTGGGAGTTCGGACACAACCTGTCCATCGATATCAGAACAGAATTATTGAAGAATCAGATGACTGAACTGACAATGAGGAGGAGATCCGCCAATCTTAATGAAACCACACAGAGACTTTGACATTTTCTCTGCTCGCCAAAGTAAGCATGTTGTCTTGATCTCTGAATCCTTAATGCAGTGTGCGGCTGGTTAAAAAATTTTAGCTTTGCAGTGGGAGTACAACAAGTCATTAAGCATAGAGCTGAGATACAACTGATGCGAACATACACAGTATCGCCTAACGCAGGCATTGCTGTAGAGCTTGTAGATTTGCCGTGCGTAAAAGCTGTGGCACCGTTCCCAGCGATACTCCCGCTTGACGCACAGCAAAACGGATGCATTGTGTTTTTAGTGTCAGGCAAAATGACTCGTCAATAATTATTTTAATTAAAGACACCGGAGGGGTGACTGCCGTTATACATCTGTGGTCGTTCAGAGGCTTGTATGAAACCTAGAATTTAGGTTACATGCAACACGTCGTTATCTCTGGAGCTGATTCATGATGCACGGTACGCAGGAAGAGGACACACACATTTCCAGTTAAAGAGTACCGGTAGGTGAACTCACCGTGTTCCCATGACTCTCTCTCTCTGTCTGTGTCTGTCTCTTGCGCGCACAAACACACACTTAAATTTCAATAGTTAAGATAGGTCAAAGCACTTTTTATTCGCTTTTTAATCTGATACCTTGAGGCGTGGTGACTGCTGATTCTCCTCCTGTTTCAGTTCCAAAGTAAGAATGGAAACTAACAGGGCAGAGGTAAAGACTTTCTTCTAAGTCAGTGAGAACAAGAGGAAACATATTATACACCTGGACTCTGTGGTTCCATCTTCCTCTCTGAACCCCACAATGGAACCCCCAGACCAAATGCACTGGTTTCCCTTCTCAGAGGACATCAACTCCTCCAATGGAGGTATTCCCTCACCCTACCTCTTTTCCTACCCTCACCTCTTCAACATCTCCTCCAACCTGTCCACCCAGAGTGTACCCTTTGAGGGCAGCAGCACTCTGTTGACGGCAGTCATCTCCCTCACAGTCTTCATGGTGGGTCTGACTGGCAACACTCTGGCCATCTATGTGGTGCTGCGCTATGCCAAAATGAAGACAGTCACCAACATCTATATCCTGAACCTGGCTGTGGCCGATGAACTCTACATCATCGGACTCCCTTTCCTCACCACACAGAACGTGCTCTCCTATTGGCCGTTTGGCTCCTTCCTGTGCCGCGTGGTCATGACAGCAGACTCTATGAATCAGTTCACATCTATTTTCTGCCTGACGGTCATGTCCATTGATCGTTACCTGGCTGTGGTTCATCCGATCCGCAGCACCAAGTGGAGACATCCCCGGGTGGCCAAGGTGGTGAGCGCAGCCGTGTGGGCCCTGTCCTTTGTGGTGGTCCTGCCTGTGGTCATCTTCTCTGATGTTCAGGTATGAACTTCAGTCCTGGTCACCACTCTTTGCCTTTGAGTGCAAACTGACTACAATTAAAAGCTGCCCTTGATAAAACAAACTGTACATTTCAACTTAAAACTTCATGTAGGACCACCAAACACATTGGATGACCCTTTGAGAGGAAACTAACAAGGGCATATTTAAATAGCCATAGCTTGATAGTTCTACAGTATGTTTTATTTCATTGAAGAACAAATGTCTTACTTTCCCAAAGCAATTTTTTTTATTTGCTAGGCTGTATTAGGATTAAAAATCTCTTTCATAGGTGTCTTTGCCAAGAAAAGCAACAACAAAAACAATGTAAATGTTACACAAAATATATGTCACAAGATCAGAATTAAAGGAATAATTTGACATTTTGCAAAATACACTGATTTCTTGCCAAGAGTTAGACAAGAAGATTGATAGCACTGTCATGTCTTTCACAGTAAATATGACTAAAGCCAGCAAGCTGTTAGCTTAGTATAAATACTGGAAACAGGGAAAAACAGCCTGAAACGGCTCATTCTAAGGTAATGAAAATACAACAGTTCCTTTATTCAGGTGATTTTACACTAATGAAAACATACCTATGAATATTATAATTAATTTATAATTATATTATAATGTATTCAATTTCTGCCAACATAGCCTCCTAAATGTTAAACACTGTCCTTTTAAAAGTGAATAATATGTCTGTTGTGTTTACAAGTTGTTTACACTGCCCCCAAGTGTTGGCTAAACATAATAACTGAAGTAAAACACACTGAAGTCTTTTGTGCTGCATTTCAGCAGAAGCTTTTATATGTGCAGAAAAATAAAAGTAATATAATTTCTCTAATGAGAAAACACAAAAGCTTTTCGAAGAAAGGTAGGAGGAGAATGTAACTTATAACAAAGTTGTTGTTAGAGTGCTGTACTGCTGAAGGCCATTAGTTTGATCACAACAGGACAAAAAGGCCTTGTCAGGTAAAAAACTTACTTGTTGGATTGACAGTTATTTCCTGTTAGCACTCAGACTAAACACAGCAGTATCTGGAAAAGTCTTCTACAATATAAAATGTGCTTCTTTAAAACCCACAAAAGCAGAAAATGGAATTTGAATTTCTCCAAACTTCTCTGCTTAATTTAAGAGCTTTATCACTCATCATGTGGATCCCAAAGTCCAGTGTTTATCTTTATTATATTTTACTCACTCTGAATGAGCAGATAATGACTGAATTTGCTGTATTGATTTCCTTTAATGTTTAAATTTACCTCAGGTTATTTCATTTCCCTTTAGGACACATTCAACTCCTGCAACATGATTTGGCCAGAGCCAAAAAACGTGTGGTCAACAGCTTTCATTCTCTACACTGCCACAGTTGGCTTCTTTGGACCGCTGCTCATCATTTGCCTCTGCTACTTACTTATTGTTATCAAGGTGTGTATATTTGCATGTGTGAGTCTGATTCCTTGTTGTCATTATCACTCTCATATTCATCCTCTTCACCATCAACATAAACTATCTCTGGTGTGTCTCCTGCAGGTGAAGTCCTCAGGGGCGCGGGCGGGCTTCACCAAACGTCGCCGCTCGGAGCGCAAGGTGACGCGGATGGTGGTAGTGATCGTGGTGGTGTTTGTGCTGTGCTGGCTGCCGTTCTTCATCATTAACATGGTCAATCTGGTGGTCATCATCCCAGAGTCCAGCGCCACTGCTGGCATCTATTTCTTTGTTGTCATCCTGTCGTATGCCAACTCCTGCGCCAACCCGGTGCTCTACGGCTTCCTGTCGGACAACTTTAAACAGAGCTTCAGAAAAGTAGGCTGGTTATCCTCTTCTAGTATAGAAACTGTGTAAATACGGAGCTCAAGTGTGTAAGAGAAACTATGGTCAAAATTCATGAAAAAGGCCCTATCTAGAGCCAATGTTTTGTTTGTTTGTTCTGGGCTACTGTAGAAACACAACAATTCTTATTTTCAGGTGATTATACACTAATGAAAACAGACCAATGAATATTATATTCCATTTGTGCCAATACAGCCTCCTAAATGTTACACATGGGACCTTTAAGAGTTAATAATATGTTTGTGTTCTGTTTACAACTTGTTTACGCTGCCCCCAAGTGTCCAATTTCCATGGTTGGTAGTGAGCCTAACTGCATAGCGAACACAGTAACAAAAAAAAAAAAAAAAACAACTCATACAAAATTTCTTAAAACATCAGCAGCCATATTCTTGGCATTTAGCTACATTTCCAGGGCATAATAAACATTGGATTTTGCTTGCGTTGTGCAAACCAGAAGAACTGTTGAAGGTGTATTTCCAGAAGACTAGCTGTTGATCCCACAAACATTCAGTAATTCAAAACTCAAACCACTTATGTTACTTGGTTACTCCCCTCCAGTTAAAATTTAAAACACAAGGCGTTCTTTTGTTTACAAAATGTTTAAACAAAAGAACAAATCATGTTTATTACATTATGTGCAAATATAGATTACATTGAATACCTTATTGTCGGCATTAACTCAATGGGAGTAAAAGAAAAGGAAACTTCAACCCTTGAATCTTCACTTAATCCAAATCTGTGTCAAAGTGTGCCTAATAATGACTCTAACCGGCTTTAACCCACAGACATTGGTTCCGCTATAGAAATGTTATACAGGTCTTTATAAACATACGGTATGACATAAACTATTCTCATTTTAACTCATAAGTAATAAATTAATCTAAACTGTATAACCAACTCTGATGGCAGCTTCACATGGGTTGCTTGCAAATTTATTTAATCTAGTTTATTAGCTAACAACACAGCTGTCCACAAACTCTTAATTGTTGTTGTTGTGGCCCTGCAGGTGCTGTGTGTGAGGAGTATGAGGTGCAAGGCCAGTGGTGTAGATGATGGCGACCCCAGCGCTCCGCGCACTGAGAAAACCACAGCACACGAGTGTATCTTGCTCTCCCCTCGTAACCAGGTCTACCACGACCCCCAGAGCAGCCAGGTACTCATCGTGTCTGTCTGTGTGTGTTTGTGTACGCTGTTGTGTGTGTAGGTAACAGTTTTATTTTTTTATTAAGTGATAAGGAAAAAATCTATGTTCAGTGCAGCACTGACTTAAATGTGAGACATAATTATTATTCTGGCATTTTAAGGACAGTGGAGAATTGGCAAAGACCAGATTCCTTAAATAATACACACACACAGATAAACACATTCAGCTCTCTGCATCACCACTGAGTCTAATGCATCAACTTTAGAGTTCTCCTAATTAAGAGAATTCCAACACTTCCGTGTTAATCAACAGGCAGGTGTGTGTGTGTGTGTGTGTGTGTGTGGGTGTGTGTTTGTGTGTGTATGCAAATTGAAGAAGGAGGGTAAATTAACGTGGCTGTGCAGGCAATGATTAGTGAAAATTCTGAAGGCGCAAGTGAAAGATTATGAGATTAGTCTTTCTCGTCTGTGTGTTTGCCGATCAGGAAAGGAAAAAGCTTTGACTCAGTCTCTGGCACATGGGGCTTCATAGTGTCCAATTAGATAACTTGTACTGACAGAGTGGCTCCGATGAGACTCTCCTTCAACTATACTAAGGTTATCAAAACTCCAACTTCCTCCACAAGTCACAGAGTTTTGAGTATATGTTAGACTCCAAGTGCTCAATCATTTATGTGTGGATTTCTGGTTAGTCTCAGAGTGTAACTTCAACTTCAATCTGTTTGTCTTCATGTGACCAGAAATGCAGTGAGAAGCAAATATATACTAACACACACACACGCACGCAC